TAAAATGTGGCTTCTTGACTGGGTGTGGTGGCACACACCTGTAATCCCAGCAATATAATCCCAGCATTTGGCAGGCTGAGGCAGACAGAATGCTGTGAGTTTGAGGCTAGCCTGGGCTATATAGTGAGTTCAAGGCCATCCTGAACTGCACAGCTAGACCCTGTCTCAAAAAAAGATGTAGCTTTTTTGAGCCTAGTGTGGTGGCACACATCTGTAATCCCAGCACTCGGGAAGCTGAGACTGAAGGAGTGCAGAGAATTTATGTTAGCATTCAAGGCTGGATGGGGCTACATAGTAAGTTCAAGGCCAGCCTGAATTACAGACCCTATCTGGAAAAGGGGGCGGGGGGGGGGGCTTCTTTCTTGCAGTAAGTGTCAATATATTATTAGCCGCTTTTCTGTTTTTTGTTTTTGTTTTTGTCGTGCGGAGGATCGATCCCAGGGCCTCACACTTGCTAGGAAAACTCTCTGGCACTGAACTACAACCCCAGCCCTTCCTTTTAATTCTTTTCCTTTAAACAAACAAACAAACAAACAAAATATCTTTTTTCCTCACTAGAACCCAGGTCTTTCCTTTGAGCTACATCTGTAGCCTTCTTTTAAAATTTATTTTGAGGCAGCATCTGACTAAGTTACTAAGTTGCCAGGCTGAGGAGTTTTCCATCTTCCTGCCTCAGCCTGCTGAACTGCTGGGATTACAGGTTTGTGACATCACACCGGCTGGGAAGGAACACTTTCTAGTTATCATTAAATCCCCCTTTTTGGCTCTTTGAATTTCTTTACCTTGTATCCTGAAAACTTGGTCTATTGTAAGCAGCTGTTTCGCCCTCACTGCACCGAAAACAACCCAAGTCCCTGTTCACAGGTTCTAGAGGTGGCGGGAACAATATTCCTGGTGACCAGGGCTTCACCAGGGGTCAGTAGGGGCACCCAGCCTGGCGACACAATGGGGGCGGGGCGTCTGGGTGGAAACGCTTTAGCCAGTGACCTAGAGAAAGCAGACACATCAGGAAACGTCAGCCACGCTGGGGACACAGCACAGACACGGGGTGGAGGGTACCACAGTCTGTGCAAAGGCATAGGGGCCGGCAAGATCCGGGGACACGGAGACTTCCTAAGTACCGTGGCTTCCCCGAATCTCTGACCTTACAAGTGATCCCGGACTCGCCGCCCAGTGGGTACACCGCGGGTTGGCTCAGCAGCCTTTCCAGCCAGACATGGAAGGACGTGGTTAGCGGAGTGAGGTGGGGAGATACAGCCGGGATCCGTGCCCACGCGGAAGCCACAGGGTGGGGGTGCAGGGTGAGGGCTTGTACCCGGCAGAGTCTCAGCCGTCACCACTACTACCGACCCACTGCCTCCTCCACCGTCCGCTGGCCACCTCCACTTCCCTTTAAAAATATTTTTATTTATTTATTTTTGCTTTTCAGCTCTTGCATTTCTATTCATTTTTAAGTTGTTTTGACAATAAAATGTATAATGCTTATCAGTAAGTATAAGCTTGCAAACAAATGTAATTGGAGATATTATTAGAAACAATTACATTTACACTTCATATGCAATTTAAAGCACAGAAGAGTCAACTTTGTAAGGGAATAAACACATATAGTAAATAATGAATTTTCTTTCTTTCTGTTTTCTTGCTTTCTTCCTTCCTTCCCTCCTTTCTTTCTGTCTGTCTGTCTTTCTGTGGTTTTTTTGAGACAGAGTCTATATAATCCAGGCTGGCCTCAAATTCATGGAGATCCTCCTACTTCAGCCTCTCCAGTGGTGGGATTATAGGTGTGTACCACCGTGCCTGGCCAATATAATCATTTCTGATAAAGACTGTTGATATTTTTTGGAAGATGAAATAGTTAACAAGTATGAGAGAAGCCATAAATTTTATTTAGTACTACCTGAAATTTTAAGAACAATCACCTTGAGAAAATTTGTAAATCTGTCCACTAATTCTGTAAGTCAAGATTTGAAAATCACAAAATGACATTGGAAGACACTAAAAGAAAGCTAATTTTGCATCTGGAATGGGAAAACTATATGACAACAAATAATTTTCTGCCAGCAATAAAAAAAGTAAACAGGTGTAACTGGGAATTAGAAAGAATATCTCCTCTGAAGTCCTCAAATTTTCCTTGTCATCCTGAATCCCCAGAACACCTATTCTCTGGTTTAAGAGGAACCATCACGAACAGGCAGTGTCTGTTTGCCCTTTTGGATCCCCAAGGGACTGAAGTGGAGTGAACCCCTCCTCCTCTGACTTCCATCCCAGAGGAGAAGCTGGAACTTTACCTCCACAGGGATCAGCAGTGCATGCACCCTACCGCTGTCACAGTCTCTCACAGGTCCAAAATCCTCTTTCCTTTTTCCCTATCTTTGTGATAATCTTTTCTTAAAATAAAAGCAGACTTTTAAAAAATAAATTAACACTTTATTGAATATCAATAAACTGTATATAGCTACACAAAACACCCCCTTATACAAAATGTTGCTAGAAATGTAGGTACCAGTATACCTTTAAACTGTAAACACCTTCCTCCCAGGCCCACCTGTCAGGCCCTCAAAATAGTTCTGGGAGACACACTGGTCAGGCAAAGCACCCCACTTGGCCCTTGACAAGTGACGGCCGTTCCTCCCAGTTCCCTCTGAGACACTGTTGAATCGTCCATGAAACAGGTGTCACCATGGCAAACAGGAGGCTGAAGTAGCTGCTCAGGTGCAGGGGCATCTGGAGGGTTAGACACCTCCTCCAGTCTGTCCCGAGGACACACCCCCGAGTGGGTTATGGCATAGTCACAGCTTGAAGAAGGTGGCCTGAGGGTTCCTTGGGGAAGGTGGAGGTGAGGGTGTGGGGTCCCCTGAGTGGAGTGGGAGCTTCCCAGTCGGTTGGCTTTTGTCCTGTAGCGCAAGGGAGCTCCACCCAAAGAGCTCTGGATGCACACACCCACACAGAGGCCTGCTCAAGAATGCTTCCCACAAGGCCGCCAGGAAGACCTCTCTCATCCCTCCCCCCGGCCCTGGAGCGGACCGAACAGAACCAGAAAGCAGCTTCACCAGAGTCCCAAGGGATGGATCAGCCAGATGGGTACGCAGAAGGAACTCCGGGACGGTGGGAAGGACGAGTTCCTTCCTTCTGGAGTTGAGGGGCTGCGGGGAGGGTCGGAGAGGTGGGAGACAGCGGGGACCCCCGAGCAGCCAGACTCTTGGTGCAGCCTACGGTACAGGAACCGGCTTGCCCTGATTCTTCCTCACGTCCGAGAGGGTCTGCAGGTGAGCAAGAAGGCTGCGGCTGCAGTGGGGGCAGCAGGGCTTCTCGCCCGTGTGGGTCCGGATGCCGCGCTGCAGCAACCAGGGCCAGGAGACCTTCCCACAGGTGGCACACACGCAGGGCAGCTCCAGCTGTGCATCTTGAGGGCGCCCAGGCTGAGGAATTCCTTGCTGCAGTATTTGCAGTTGAAGGCTCAGTAAGACTGGAGAGCCCAGCCAGGTGCTTGGGCTAAAGCCCGGGAAAGCCGCGTAGGTCTCGGGCTCCAGGGAAGAGGTCAAGGCGGAGCAGGACGAAGGAGGTGGCCGGTGAAGGCGGGCTAGGAGCCTTTCCCGCTGTCCGAGAGACAGGAATGTCAGCTCGTCCGCCCTGGGGCTCTCCTGGGGCTGAAGGGAGGAGCAGCCGAAGGGCTAAACTAGAGACAAAGCTGGGCGTGGTGGCGCACGCCTGTAATCCCAGCATAGGAGGATCATTGCGAGTTGGAGACCAGCCTGGGCTACACAAGTGAGTTCAAGGCCAGCCTGAACTGCATAGCGAGACCCTGCCTCAAAAAGACAAGAAAGAAAGGAAGAAAGAAAGAAAGAGCTAGAGACAACCAGACAGCGTCCCAGAGGAGCACAGGCAGGGAGGCCGTGGGGTTGGCGACCTCCGGAGGCTGCTGGAAGGTAAACGCTGGAGAGGAAGCCCGCAGCTCGCTGTACTTGGGCTTGCGGGTGGGGTCCCGGTGCTTCCTGACGAGGAAAGAGCGCAGCACGGTGGCCGAGCACCGGGCTGGGGGTCGCTGAAGGGCCCAGGGAACTCTGCTCCGCTCTGCAGCGGCACCGTCCAGACAGTTTGAAGGTGGAGAAAAGGGAGTAGGAGAGAGATGACGGACAGCCGCCCCGGATGCGTAGGGAGCATTGGGAGGTGAAATGCTCGTGGGTTCTTGTCTGGGGCACCTTCTTACAGAAATCCTTGTCCCTTGTAGGCTCCTGGAATCTGATTGGCTCCACGGCTGTCTTTGGTCCTCCCCTTGGACTTCTTCTGGTCACATGACCTTCCCTGTTGCTTAGTGGAGACTAGGATTATGGGTGTGTGTGTGTGGGGGGGGGCGGTCTAGGGACTAATAGTTTAGGTTTAAGTAGTTTGTTTTGCCTTTGTCTTTTTGACTGCTTGAGCCTATTCTGCAGAGGCAAAGACCTCCGCCCCTAGTAAGTCTCTCCATTCTAACAAAGCCCAGCCAGGCCTTCCTTTCATCTTCTCTTTCCCTTATCGCCTCCCCTCCCCATCTCTACATTTCCCCCTCTCAGACAACCATCCAGCTGCTGTTGGGGAAAAGGACGTTGACTGATCTGGCTTCTTTGAGTTGAATGGGGTTGTAGTTGGGGAGCAGCGGATGGGAGTTTTCAGCAGCGAGGTTTGCCTAGTGGCCCTCGGTAGAAGTCTGACACCTTTATGGTGGATCTTGTCTGCGTGATCACTTGGTGTTTGGTAGCCTTTGCAGCCAGCACACCAGTTAATGTAAAGTCTGGAGAGGGATGAACTCCATGGCGTGCCCTGCCACGAAATGCCCCACTCTGCTGGAACATAACGCTCCTGCCAATGCTAAAACCAGCATCAGTAAAACAACCAAAGAAGCAGAGTTTAAAATTAAAGCAGATAATTTATTTGAAGGTAGAGAAAAAGGGGAGGGAGATGACCGCTATCCTGGCGGAGTAGGGCGCCTTCGAATGTGAAATACCCGATCCCTTTTAATCACCTTCAACTCTTTGTGACTCCCCTTGCTTCCTCATGGTTTGGAAGGTCACACCCTTTATTAAACTTATTAAATTTTAAATTACTTTTTTTATTTTTTATTTTATTTTTTTTGCAGTACCAGGAATCGAACTCAGGACCTTGGGCTTGCCAGGCAGGCGCCTGTGCCACTGAGCTAAATCCCCAGCCCCCTTAAATTACATTCTTAATAAGTCTACCTATATCATGTGATAACTAAAGGACTATTACACAGTGCTGATGGCAGGTCTCCCTTTAAAGTTATGACCATGAACCTCAAATAAGGAATCACACTGTATTTCTTCTTTTATTCTTTTCTTTCTTTCCCTTTTTGATGGAGTAGTATTGGAAATTGAACTCAGGACTTTCTCACTGAACTACATCCCCAGCCCCTTTTAAAATTTTGAATTAGGGTCTCAGTAAAGTTGCTAAATTGCCCAAGCTGGGCTCAAACTTGGCATCTTCTTGCCTTAGCCTCCCAGAGTACTGGGGTTAAAGGTGTGAGCCCCCAAACCTGGCTTGTGACTGTATTTTTGAGAGATAATTCCTTCACATGATAAGTTTAAAATAGTTATTCGTGGTTTTAAAGTGTGTGGGGGGTTGGACTATATCAAACATAGGAAATTGTTTTAAAATTTTTCATATAGTTATATCCTCAAACATACAACTTTGTATATTTATTTACTACAAATTTGCAGATGTCAGAATCAATGACACTTTTACTTATTTCTCCTAAGATTTACCAGATAATAAAGTAATTCAAATCATAAATGAAGATGTGTTATAACCTGACATCTTAGGATAACAGAACAAACAAGTCATCCGTCTAAAGTACAATTAGGTAATAAAATACTCAAGAGGTACTTACTAATGCTATTTATTTGGAAAATGTATGCCTTTCAGTCT